GTTATATGGGGACCAAAATTCAGACCTATATTGCCAGTTATATGCAAGGATATTTCCTACATACTAGGTACATATATTCTTATTCATAGGAAATTCGGCTTGAAATTGAGTCTAAAGCACCAAAAAAACTTAAATCTCTCGGTATAGTTATATGGGGCTTAAAGCAAAAGGTGGACCTATATGGCCCATTTTCAATAGCAGAAGTACTGGAGACCTGAAATATATCTGAGTAAGAGTTGATCGACCTACTTCATTTTTCTCGAAAGCTTGAGGTATTTCAATGGAAAGATAGGTGGAGATACATCGCTAAATCGACATAAAAAGTTATACTGATCAGGAATATATATACTTTGTGGGGTCTAAAATGTATATTTTACAAACGGAATGGCAAACATAATATACCATACATACCATGGTCGAGGCTATGAGAAGGGTGGGATCAATGCTAAAATCAGAATCTTTATGTCTTGTTTACAAGGCCAAGTAATATTTTTCCAAGGTTTCTTAATTATTTGAAAAAAAATTCTACGTTAAGTTGAATTCACATAAATACACATGTACTTTATGACATTTAAATTTGGTTAGTCCGCATCAACATACCAAATTGACTTGAAAATAATATTTTAATAAGCTTACAAACGTAAGCCTTAAGCTTGAGAAAATCTTGAGAATGTATTAAGAAAGGCTTGTTTAACAATTATAGAATAATCGAAACGGAACCCTTATTTATAACCTTAATCTTGTAATTGAAGTATAAGCTTACGAAAATAATATATTAAGCTTGATAGTGCAATTGTAGAATAAGCTTACAAAACTAATATTTTCGTAAACTTATGTATTTATAAACCAGTAAAGAAAGCCTTAAAATCGGGGCCGACTTTATGATACCCTACACCACTTTCCTAATTTAGTAGAATTCAATCATACACGCTATGCTTATAATTATAATTTAAAGTTCAAAGGACTAAATATGCCGAAGCATTTGTGTGTTTTGAATTCGGACTTGTATTGCCCATTTGGTGCACAATTAATTTGAAATCGGATAAAGATATATATGGGAGCTATATCTATATCTGAACCGATCTTCACCAAATTTGACAAACTAGCTTCTAGACTCAATTCGGTCGTAAGTGCAAAATTGTTGGTTAGCTCACTTTGATACATACGAGACTCTGCTCTCATTGGAAATAATTGTAAATGTAGTAGTAGTAATCGATAATGATCCTCGGCGATCACTGCGATCCTCTGCGATTGCAAGAACCTCTGCGTTCACTTGTCGTTTAGTAGTTGAAGTGTACACTTCTCGCGCTCTAACCCATTGGTACTTCGGTTATACTAACCAGGCCTCTTTCGCCACCCCAAATTACAAAGGTAATTTTGTTGTGTTATAGAAAGAAGAAATACCCCAATAAAGAATGAAACTATTTAGAATTTATTACTAATATCTTATCTTTTATAATAATATCACCGCATTCACCACACACGCGAATCACCCGCACCTCTCACCATCACATAATAACTCTGGGGAGTTCTCGTTGTTGTTGCCGCTGTCTGTCATTCCTCCACTCCCCTGAGTTAAACAGGAGCTATATCCAAATCTGAACCGGTCTCGATAAAATTTAGCAAAGGTATTTCTGAGCTGTATTTGATGTATTTCCCAAATATTGTTGTTACAGACGAAAATAACAAATCGGATGAACAATATATATTGGAGCTATAGCTATATCTGAACCGATTTCGATCAAATTTGGCACACTTTGCTGGCCTAATTTGGTTGTATGTGGATAATTCCGTACTATTCGGGCTGATATTACACGTTCGGAGCACAATAAAAGGCAAATCGGACGAAGATATATATGGGAGCTATATCTAAATTTTTACCGTCCTTGGGCCAAAAAAATGATTTGTGCAAAATTTCATCTGGGTCGGGTAATAAATGCGAACTGTACTTTGTTTACAAAAATACATGGACAGACGTACGGCCAGGCAGACGGACGGACATGCATAAATCGATTCAGAATGTTATTCTGTGCAGATCATCAAAATGAACTATTGGTCTATCTCGTGTCCTTTTGCCTGTCACGAACTAATGCACAAAGACATAATACTCTGACCACCATGTGGTGTAGGGTATAAAAAGCGTAAATATTTTACAAAATTATTTGCTCCATTTTTATTAATTCAGTCGTGTTTTAAATTAAGATCATTAGTTCAAATAATTTTAGGTAATGTTATAATTATGTTTTTTAAAATTTACATTTGATTTTTTTGTTTTTGTAATCGTTTCGCAGCGTTATACGATTTTTAGCGAATTGAAAGGAAGTGCGTGTGTCTTTAATGAATGTGTCCTCCGTGTAGCCCAATGATAAAGTTGCATCTATGAGATAGAGAAATTTACCGTTTTTTGCGAACACTTCTCTTTGTCGTTGTTCCTCTCCAGCGTAGTCGTTCTACCAATTCATTATTTTCTTGTGTGAACACCATGCGCTTCTAAACGTATTGCACAGTTTGTGTACACTTGTGGCAGGAATTATAAGGGGTATGGCTTTTTATAATCAAAACTAGGGATCCTGCTGGTGAATCGCATTTAAATGACCGGCAGTTAACTTTATAATTTTTGCTTTTAAATGAGAAATTGGAACTCATAACTTCATTAACTTTCTCAACGATTGGTGTTAGGATCGCGTTGATGTCTTTCGGCTTACTGTTACCGATTACCGATTGTATACGTAGGTTTTGTACCGTTTACGTTTACCAATATAGACCAAACTTGCGCCAATGAACTTTTTGAAATTGGAAGACCATCAATATTAATATTTAAATCAATTCAACTACCTTTTTTGCTTCTATTCTTACACTTTTTATACACTCCACCATACTATGGAGAGTATATTAACTTTGTCTTTCCGTTTGTAACTCCTCGAAATACTGATGTCAGACCCAACAAAGTATATATTCTTTAACAGCGTAAAATTCTAAGTCGATTTAGCCATATCCGTCTGTTTGTCTGTCTGTCCGTCTGTCTGTCCGTCTGTCTGTTGTAATCACGATATCTTTCGAACGAATTGATATAGATGGCTAAAATTTTGCACACGTGTAGGTAGGTTAAGTTCGTAAATGGGCCATGTAGGTCCCCCCACTTATAAAAGTACCTCCCGATATTCGTTATTTTGATGATTTTAGCGACATTTATCACCGAAATTGTTTCCACTTTGGTATTTGAAGTTAGAAATGGATACTACAGCCTATGGCAGAAAATTATCTGTGCAGGTCCACGTCTTCGTATAGCCCCCATACAACGGTACCTCCCGATATTCGGTATTTTGATGATTTTAGCGACATTATTCACAGGAATTGTTTCAAATTTGGTATTTGAGATTCGTAATGTATACTACAGCCTAAGGCAGAAAATTGTCTGTGCAGGTCCACGTCTTCGTATAGCCCCGATATAACGGAACCTCCCAAAATTCGGTATTTTGATGATTTTAGCGTCATTATTTACCGGAATTGTTTCAAATTACGTATTTAGAGTTCGTAATAGGAACTACAGTCTGTGACAGAAAATGGTCTATGCAGGTCCAGTTCTTCGTTAGGCCCCATATATCAGTACCTCCCTATATTCGGTATTTTGACGAGTTGAGGTACAATACCCACCGAAATTGTTTGAGATGTCGTATTTGACGTTCGCAATGGATGCTATAGCCTGTGACAGAAAATTGTTTATGCTGGTCCAGGTCTTCGCACAGCTACGATATTTTGTTGATTTTAGCTACATTATTCACCGTTTATTTCAAGTTTCGAATTTGAATATGGTAATGGCTTATGATATACAAGGCCCATGTAGGTCCACGTCGTATAAACCACGTCGTATATAATGGCTATATTCGGTATTTTTAAGATTTTAACAGAATTTTTTTAAGGATTTTATTTTTTGAAATTTTCCAAATTAGTTCCAAATGGTGGAGGGTATTGAAAGTTCGGCCTGGCCGAACTTACTGCTTTTTAACTTGTTTTATATTTATAAGGCATTTTTAAAATATTACCTATTAATTTTTACAAAACACAGCGAGATATTTTTTACATTAAAATTAATCAATAAATGCAAAACAAATTGTTTTTCACCAAATAAATTTATCTACAAATGCAATGCCTACTCATTACGCAATGGTTGTGTGTTCAAAAAATTTTCAGACAGACTTACGAATCCTTTGTACAAATAGGCATTTCTAAAGTATTGTTAAAAATTTATTGTGGAATTTCTTTTTAATAATATTATTTTCAAGTTGTGTTGTAGTTTTATTTTTATTTGGTATGTTGGGATATGACTCATAAAATTGCCAGCCTGCTTCACCACTGCTATAGATACAAAGCCGACAGTAAAATTATAAGCATTCAGCAACTGGCAAGTCAACTTCCTATCATTTAAATAAACAAAAGGGCCATTTTTTATCCAGTCCACTATCTCCACAATATAGCTATAGCTTATTGTACTCGTAGTATCTTTCTTATTGTGAAATCCCAAATGATTATAATTCCGAAAATTAACGATTTTGGGAATTTCAGGAAAATCAATTAGTCCGTAAATAATATGAATTAACTAATACTTTTCAATAAAAAGTTAAAACAGCTATCGGTAAAACAAGAAAGGAAGGGATGTATATCCAAACTTTAGAAACAAAATAAAAACATTTTGTAAATTTTGTGCTAGGACATTTACAGTGAATCGAAATTCTTAGCTTAAAAATTGTGCCTAAAAGCCCTCCAAGTAACTCTATTGCTCTAGTATAACGTACACAACACTATAGCTGTATGAAGATTTTCTGCAGTGGTTTTAGGGTTAATCAGACTTAATAACCGGTTTAAAAGCAATAATTTGCTGTCTATCATAGACGACTCGTTTTATGTTGCATTCCATATAAGTATGTTTCTATCTCAAAAATTAGCATTTGAATTAAATTAACAAAACTATTTGAAATAAGTCTATATAAAACAGTAAGCCAGTTGTTTTGATTGTTTTAGTAGTCATTTTACCTTCGCCTAGTTGAAATCGAAATTTTGTTAAAAATGCAAAAAATTACTGTGAGTAGAACTATTTTCAAAAATATTATCAAATTCATTTCTCTAATCATCATTTGCGTTTCAGATCTTGATTGTTTTGTTGGTATGTGTTGTTGCCTTGGTTGCTGGTCAAACATTCCACGAAGTTCGGAATCAAATTATGGGTATGTCGAGTTGTTGTACCAAATGACTCATATCCCTTGTTATTATTAATTTTATACTTATATGTTTCCAATTTTTTTCACAGGTGAATATAACAAATTGGGCGGATCGACGATTGTTCATCCCGAAGAAGTTGCTGATGTTATTAATTCTTACGATGTACCATTCCCCATGATTTTTTAATTTGTTTGATATTTAATAAGTAATTTTATTCAAAATAAATTTAGTTTACTTTTAATATAGCAGTGTGTTGGCGTTTATTGCTTAAATATCGATATTTGAGAATATTTGATTGAAACCAGTTTTTCTACTGTTTTATAAAATAGTGGCGTAGGTAATTTCAAGGTCGTTTCTCTACAAATATTTGGATATTATCTTACTTAGCTAAGCTATAAATGATTTCTTGCAATCATTAGTTCTTGCAACCACCTTATAGAGGCTCTTCTCTAGTTTATGTGTTTACGATTTTAAACCATTTTTATAACCTCCACCATACACGAAGGGTGTATTAAGCTTGTTATTCCATTTGTAACTCATCGAAATACTAATTTTAGACATAATGAAGTATATATATTCTTGGTCAGTGTAAAGATATGAGCTAAAATTTTGCACAGATCAGTCATTTGTCTGCAGGCAGGTCAAGTTCGATTTAAATAAACAAATGGGTTATTATACCGTAAGTCATATGGCTACAGAGGGTACATATCACTTGATACGGCCAAAATAACGACCTCATCGAAATAACGGTTTTAGACCCTAGGTCTCTTTGGACCAAATACATTTCAGGACATTTGGAGCCGATCTAGCGATGTCCGTCCGTCCTTTCGTCTGTCTGGCAGGCAGGTCAAGTTCGAAGATGGGCTATATCAGTCATCGATATCGTATAGCCCCACCTATAATGGTACCTCTAGGTATTCGCTATACATTTTTCAATGTCTATATAGGTCTACGGTATCGTATATTCCCCATATAAAGGTACCTCCCAATATTCGGAATTTTGATGATTGTAGCCAAATTTTTCAATGGAGTTGTCTGAATATACTCACAAGGAGTTCCTTCTGAGTACTTTATTCCCTGGAAGAGAATTGTCTACATAGGTCCTTGATATCGAATAGCAGCCATAGAACGCTATTTTTATGATTTGAACGACATTTTTTAGCGTAATTGTTTCAAATTTCATATGTGAAGATCTATTTCGTCTCCTCAATACATATTGGCACAAAGTTTTCGAAACAAATCATATCCACATATTAAGGTATCACCCGATTGTTCTTTGAGGAATTTGAGTACATCTTACAACCGTATTGGCTTTTAGTATTGTTACCAATAATAGTTTTATTTTCTCATACTGAAGGATGCCAAGTGTTCGGTCGGAGCTGAATTAACCTCTTTTTATTTTCTATATATATAATATAGTAGTCAAATAACTGACTGACTGAGAACCAACGACCAGGCGAATAAGCTGAAGCTAGTGTTGGTGCATAGGCGTCAAGCTAAATAGGGTCTTCTTTCCCCTTTAATTATTCCAAGTGCGTACTTTGGCCGTGCTTTCGCTAGATAGTAGATAAGGACAGTAGGAATCTCCTAATAAGGTTGGATTTTTGGACATTCGTACTTGGAGGGGACCAAAAGTAAGTTTGATATAATTAGGTGGTTTCGAAAATGTGTACTAAGTGTGAGTACTGTGCTTAATGGTATTGAATTTGAAATAGTTTGGTTTAGAGTAAACGTGTAAAGCTGGAATTTTGAAATATAATATTGGGTAAAGGTTTGTTATAAATACGTGGTTTTGGACGGTTTTGGAAGGGATGTGTTTGAACTATAAGTGGACAAAAAGTAGTAAATAGTACTATATTAGGTACAATTTAGTATATGGGTCTCTGTGATCGCTGGGTGAATTCACAAATGTATACTATAATTGTACCAAAAGAACTAAATGATACTAAATTTGCTAATGGGGGAAGCAATAAGGCTGGAATTCTCAAAATTGATATTGAGGTTTCAGTTGGTATCTGGAATATCTATCCTAGCTAGGCTAGTCCTGGATATATGTACTATAATTGAAGTTAATATTACTAAATTTGGTAATGGGGGAAATTACAGAGCTGAAATTTGATATTTAGATAATTGTTGGTGTCTGTGGTTAAGATATGGGATGGTTTTGAAAATGTGTACTATAATTGCTCGAAAAGTAGTAAGTGGTACTAAATTGGGTAGTGGGTGAAGGGATAGATCTGGATTTCCAATATAAGATATTTAGATCTCTGTTGGCATCTGGTGATGGCTTTGCAAATGCGTGCCATAATTATTCGAAAAGGTGTTTAGGATTGAGAGGTGTAGATTGTTTTGGATATTGATGTTGACGTCACTGTTTCTTTCTGGGGTTTACATATGGAGAAATGCAATTGCGTTTTTAAAGACTAGAAAATGCATTCGGAGAAAATGCTTTGTGGCTATAATATCTCAGTAGCAGCTCAAGACAGAGGCATATTAATAAAAAAAATATAAATAGAAAGGATGACAAATAATCCAACATATTGGTTTCAAAATTATGTACCATAGACCTTTCCAATTAATTGTATATTGCCGGACGGGTTAAATCGCTTAACATTGCTGACTATGTCGTTATGATATCATAACCACTGACCTATTTTTACTTGGTGACAATATTTTGACAATGTCTTGTCTCATCTTCATACTTCTATGCCCCCATTAAATTAATATTTTTCAGAATTTGCCATAGGCACCTATGTAGGTTCCCTGTTTGATATAGCAATCCAACCGCCTACTTTACGGTATTTTGAGGTCTTAAACTTCTTAAACCGATTTAATTTCAAAATGCAGTTCGTTCTTATATTGAATGTTTCCATGCACAGGAAGTTCTACATATCACACTACAAATATATTGATAAACAATATATTTATCAATATATTTGTAGTGTGATAAATAGAACTGCCTGTGCATGGGAAACATTCAATATAAGAACGAACTGCATTTTGAAATTAAATTGGGAATCAACATACAAATTGCTCGTTATTTATTCTTTATCGCAAATCCCAAGCTCTTTGGTTTAACGGTACCAAATTCGTTAGTAAATACATACAAATACAAACTTGATGCCCAAAATTGTTGCTATATTTTTTCAAGGCCCTTTTCCCAATTATTTATATTTTTTCTTTAAATCATTATCTCAATACCTTAAATATTTTTTACGTCATTCGTGTTAACTTTTCTCTTTAAAAATAATTTATAGTTAAATATATAAATTGTGTAACTATAACAACGATTATCAATATATGAATGATTGAAAATTTTATCAAAGTATGAAATGAAAATTTTCGACGTTTCTTCAAAAAACATTCTTTAAAAATCCAAGTCTTGTAGGCTCTTTAAAAAAACATTCTTTAAAAATCCACATCTTGTAGACTGTTCAAAAACATTCTTTAAAAATCCACATATTGTAGGCTCTTCCAAAAACATTAATTAAAAATCCATGTCCCGAAGACTTACAAAAATATTCTTTAAAAATCCACGCCCCAAAGACTTACAAAAATATTCTTTAAAAAATCCACGTCACGAAGGGTCTTAAGAAAATATTTTTTAAAAATTCATGCATCGAAGGCTCTTTAAAAATATTCTTTAAAAATCAACGTCTTGTAGACTCTTCAAAAATATTCTTTAAAAAGTCACGTCTCGAATGCTCTTCAGAAAATATTCTTTCAAAAGTCTACGTATGGGAAGTTCTTAAAAAAATCACGTCTCGAAAGCTCTTAAAAAAATATGAAAACATATATAGAAAAAAAGGAATAAAGTATTTCTCACTGTGTATAGAGAGGAAAAGAGACACTTTCAATATTTTTTATTTCAAAAAGAGTCTTGTGTAAAATATTGCAATAAATATTGCAAGTGCTTTTTTGCCTCTCTTTACAGAGTGAGAAATAATTTGTTATCTTTAAATTTTCATTTTAAAATTTTCTGTTTTCAAAAAAATTTTGTTGGTAAAAATTTATATTTTGATTAGACAATTCGGAGATATATTTGCACAATTATTTCAATTATGATTAATTTTAATATAAAACAAGTAAAAGAGCTCTAAGTTCGGCCTGGCAGAACTTTGAATACCCTCCACCATCTGGAACGAATTTGGCAATTTTCGAAAAAATAAAATCCGTTAAAAATTTTGTTAAAATCTTTAAAATACCGAATGTACCCGTTATATTAGGGTCTTTACGACGACGTTGACCTGCATAGGCAATTTTTGTCGTAAGCCATTACAACATTCAAATGCGAAACTTAAAAAAAATCGGTGAATAATGTAGCTTAAATCATCAAAATACTGAAAATCAGGAGCTACCGTTATATAGGGGCTATACTAAAACGTAGACCGACATGGCCCATTTTCAATACCAAAAGTCCTACAGACGTAATATACATTTGAGTAAAATTTTATTAACCTACTTCATTTCGTTCGAAAGCTAGAGTGATTTTCACAGACGGATAGACGGACGGACATCGCTAAATCGACATAGAATTTTATGCTGATCAAGAATATATATACTTTGTGGGGTCTAAAATATATATTTCGAGGTGTAACAAACTTAATATACCCTCCATACTATGGTGGAGGGTATACAAAAATGATACAAATGCCCTTCAAAAATATATAAGATAGCATTTTCTGAAATGTTACACAATTTTGATGTTTTGTTGTTTGATGTTTTGCCTAGCCTTGCTAAAAGTAACGCTATGCTATAAAGACCATATAGAATACACCACTATAAATACACTTGTATTTTACTTTATTTATATTTGGTATATATATAAAATAAGAAAAATATGCTATGACACGTTTCTTTTTAATTGACAATTTTGGGGATCATCTTAAAGTATGGCGTGAAAATGCTACAGATAATTGTTTTAAAATTTAATTGGCATAAGACTCTGACATCATGTGTAATTTAGCCCTAATCAATTCACGAAGTAAAAAAAATTGTTTTTCATAAAACACATACCCTTAAATATGAAGCCCTTAAATATGTGACGCCAACTGTATGTGAAATAAATTTTCTAAATGTATATTTAGCATTTTTGTAGCAAACATTTAGGCGCTTCTAGTTCACGTATGATGTTAATATAATAAAACTATATAATTATTTTCTATAGTATATAGG